TGGCCAATGTACAGGTTCTGAATGTAATCTGAGTGGGCAATGTGCAAGTACTGAATGTCATGTGACTGGCCAATGTACAGGTTCTGAATGTAATCTGAGTGGGCAATGTGCAGGTTCTGAATGTAATCTGAGTGGCCAATGTACAGGTGCTGAATGTAATCTCAGTGGGTAATGTGCAGGTTCTGAATGTAATCTGAATGGCCAATGTACAGGTGCTGAATGTAATCTGAGTGGGCAATGTGCAGATACTGAATGTGTTCTCAGTGGGCAATGTGTAGGTACTGAATGAGTTCTCAGTGGGCAATGTGCAGGTACTGAATGTAATCTGAGTGAGCAATGTGCAGGTACTGAATGTAATCTGAGTGGGCAATGTACAGGTACTGAATGTTATCTGAGTGGGTAATGTGCAGGTTCTGAATGTAATCTGAGTGGCCAATGTACAGGTTCTGAATGTAATCTGAGTGGGCAATGTGCAAGTACTGAATGTCATCTGAGTGGCCAATGTACAGGTGCTGAATGTAATCTGAGTGGGCGATGTGCAGGTTCTGAATGTAATCTGAGTGGCCAATGTACAGGTGCTGAATGTAATCTGAGTGGGCAATGTGCAGGTTCTGAATGTAATCTGAGTGGCCAATGTACAGGTGCTGAATGTAATCTGAGTGGGCAATGTGCAGGTACTGAATGTAATCTGAGTGAGCAATGTGCAGGTACTGAATGTAATCTCAGTGAGCAATGTGCAGGTGCTGAATGTATTCTGAGTGGGCAATGTGCAGGTTCTGAATGTAATCTAAGTTGGAAAAGTGCAGGTACTAAATGAGTCCTGAGTGGGCAATGTACAGGTGCTGAATGTAATCTGAGTGGGCAATGTGCAGGTGCTGAATTAGTTTTCAGTGTGCAATGTGCAGGTGCTTAACGTAATCTGAGTGGGCAATGTGCAGGTGCTGAATGTAAATTTAGTGGGCAATGTGCAGGTGCTGAATGAGTCCTGAGTGGGCAATGTGCAGGTGCTGAATTAGTTCTCAATGGGCAATGTGCAGGTATTGAATGTCATCAGAAATGGCAATGTGCAGTTCCTGAATGTTATATGAGTGGGCAATGTGCAGGTGCTGAATGAGTTCTCAGTGGGCAATGTTCAGGTGCTGAATGTAATCTGAGTGGGAAATGTGCAGGTACTGAATGTAATCTGAGTGGGCAATGTGCAGTTGCTGAATGTAATATGAGTGGGCAATGTGCAGGTGCTGAATGAGTTCTCTGTGGGCAATGTTCAGGTGCTGAATGTAATCTGAGTGGGAAATGTGCAGGTACTGAATGTAATCTGAGTGGGCAATGTGCAGTTGCTGAATGTAATATGAGTGGGCAATGTGCAGGTGCTGAATGTAATCTGAGTGGGCAATGTACATGTGCTGAATGAGGTCTCAGTGGGCAATGTGCAGGTGCTGAGTGTATTCTCAGTGACAATGTGCAGGTGCTGAATTAGTTCTCAGTGGGCAATGTGCTGGTATTGAATGTCATCTCAAATGACAATGTGCAGGTGTTGAATGTAATCTGAGTGGGCAATGTGCAGGAGCTGAATGAGTTCTCTGTGGGCCATGTGCAGGTGCCGAATTTTTTTTGAGTGGCCAATGTGCAGGTTCCGAATGTTATCTGAGAGGGCAATGTACAGGTACTGAATGAGTTCTCAGTGGGCAATGTGCAGTTGCTGAATGTAATCTCAGTGGACAATGTGCAGGTGCTGAATGAGTTCTCAGTGGGCAATGTGCAGATACTGAATGTAATTTCTGTGGGCAATGTGCAGTTGCCGAATATTATCTCAGAGGGCAATGTGCAGGAGCTGAATGAGTTCTTATTGTGCAATGTGCAGGTACTGAATGTCATCTGAGTGGGCAATGTGCAGGTGCTGAATGAGTTCTAAGTGGGCAATTTGCAGGTGCTGAATGTAATCTGAGTGAGCAATGTGCAGTTGCTTAAAGTAATCTGAATTGTCAATGTGCAGGTACTGAATGTAATCTGAGTGAGCAATGTGCAGTTGCTTAAAGTAATCTGAATTGTCAATGTGCAGGTACTGAATGTAATCTGAGTGGGCAATGTACAGGTACTGAATGTTATCTGAGTGGGTAATGTGCAGGTTCTGAATGTAATCTGAGTGGCCAATGTACAGGTTCTGAATGTAATCTGAGTGGGCAATGTGCAAGTACTGAATGTCATCTGAGTGGCCAATGTACAGGTTCTGAATGTAATCTGAGTGGGCAATGTGCAGGTTCTGAATGTAATCTGAGTGGCCAATGTACAGGTGCTGAATGTAATCTGAGTGGGCAATGTGCAGGTTCTGAATGTAATCTGAGTGGCCAATGTACAGGTGCTGAATGTAATCTGAGTGGGCAATGTGCAGATACTGAATGTGTTCTCAGTGGGCAATGTGTAGGTACTGAATGAGTTCTCAGTGGGCAATGTGCAGGTACTGAATGTAATCTGAGTGAGCAATGTGCAGGTACTGAATGTAATCTGAGTGGGCAATGTACAGGTACTGAATGTTATCTGAGTGGGTAATGTGCAGGTTCTGAATGTAATCTGAGTGGCCAATGTACAGGTTCTGAATGTAATCTGAGTGGGCAATGTGCAAGTACTGAATGTCATCTGAGTGGCCAATGTACAGGTGCTGAATGTAATCTGAGTGGGTAATGTGCAGGTTCTGAATGTAATCTGAGTGGCCAATGTACAGGTGCTGAATGTAATCTGAGTGGGCGATGTGCAGGTTCTGAATGTAATCTGAGTGGCCAATGTACAGGTGCTGAATGTAATCTGAGTGGGCAATGTGCAGGTTCTGAATGTAATCTGAGTGGCCAATGTACAGGTGCTGAATGTAATCTGAGTGGGCAATGTGCAGGTACTGAATGTAATCTGAGTGAGCAATGTGCAGGTACTGAATGTAATCTCAGTGAGCAATGTGCAGGTGCTGAATGTATTCTGAGTGGGCAATGTGCAGGTTCTGAATGTAATCTAAGTTGGAAAAGTGCAGGTACTAAATGAGTCCTGAGTGGGCAATGTACAGGTGCTGAATGTAATCTGAGTGGGCAATGTGCAGGTGCTGAATTAGTTTTCAGTGTGCAATGTGCAGGTGCTTAACGTAATCTGAGTGGGCAATGTGCAGGTGCTGAATGTAAATTTAGTGGGCAATGTGCAGGTGCTGAATGAGTCCTGAGTGGGCAATGTGCAGGTGCTGAATTAGTTCTCAATGGGCAATGTGCAGGTATTGAATGTCATCAGAAATGGCAATGTGCAGTTCCTGAATGTTATATGAGTGGGCAATGTGCAGGTGCTGAATGAGTTCTCAGTGGGCAATGTTCAGGTGCTGAATGTAATCTGAGTGGGAAATGTGCAGGTACTGAATGTAATCTGAGTGGGCAATGTGCAGTTGCTGAATGTAATATGAGTGGGCAATGTGCAGGTGCTGAATGAGTTCTCTGTGGGCAATGTTCAGGTGCTGAATGTAATCTGAGTGGGCAATGTACATGTGCTGAATGAGGTCTCAGTGGGCAATGTGCAGGTGCTGAGTGTATTCTCAGTGGGCAATGTGCAGGTGCTGAATGTAATCTGAGTGGGCAATGTACATGTGCTGAATGAGGTCTCAGTGGGCAATGTGCAGGTGCTGAGTGTATTCTCAGTGGGCAATGTGCAGGTGCTGAATTAGTTCTCAGTGGGCAATGTGCTGGTATTGAATGTCATCTCAAATGACAATGTGCAGGTGTTGAATGTAATCTGAGTGGGCAATGTGCAGGAGCTGAATGAGTTCTCTGTGGGCCATGTGCAGGTGCTGAATTTTTTTTGAGTGGCCAATGTGCAGGTTCCGAATGTTATCTGAGAGGGCAATGTACAGGTACTGAATGAGTTCTCAGTGGGCAATGTGCAGTTGCTGAATGTAATCTCAGTGGACAATGTGCAGGTGCTGAATGAGTTCTCAGTGGGCAATGTGCAGATACTGAATGTAATCTCTGTGGGCAATGTGCAGTTGCCGAATATTATCTCAGAGGGCAATGTGCAGGAGCTGAATGAGTTCTTATTGTGCAATGTGCATGTGCTGAATGTAATCTGAGTGGGCAATGTGCAGGTGCTGAATGAGTTCTCTGTGGGCAATGTGCAGGTGCTGAATGTTATTTGAGTGGCCAATGTGCAGGTACCGAATGTTATCTGAGAGGGCAATGTACAGGTACTGAATGTAATCTCAGTGGGCAATGTGCAGGTACTGAATGTTATCTGAGTGAGCAATGTGCAGGTGCTAAATGAGTTCTCAGTGGGCAATGTACAGGTACTTAATGTTATCTCAGTGAGCAATGTGCAGGTGCTGAATGTTATCTCAGTGAGCAATGTGCAGGTGCTGAATGTTATCTCAGTGAGCAATGTGCAGGTGCTGAATGTATTCTGAGTGGGCAATGTGCAGCTGCTGAATTAGTTCTCAGTGGGCAATGTGCAGGTATTGAATGTCATCTGAAATGGCAATGTGCACATGCTCAATGTAATCTGAGTGGGCAATGTGCAGGAGCTGAATGAGTCCTCTGTGGATAATGTGCAGGTGCTGAATGAGTCCTCTGTGGATAATGTGCAGATACTGAATGTAATGTCAGTGGGCAATGTGCGGTTGCCGAATGTAATCTCAGAGGGCAATGTGCAGGTACTGAATGAGTTCTTATTGGGCAATGTGCAGGTACTGACTGTCATCTGAGTGGGCAATGTGCAGTAGCTGAATGTAAATTGAGTGGGCATTGGGCAGGTGCTGAGTGTATGAGTTCTCAGTGGGCAATGTGCAGGTACTGAATGTTATCTGAGTAGGCAATGTGCAGGTACTGAATGTTATCTGAGTAGGCAATGTGCAGGTGCTGAATGTAATCTGAGTGGGCAATGTGCAGGTACTGAATGTAATCTGAATGGGCAATGTGCAGGTGCTGAATGTAATCTGAGTGGGCAATGTGCAGGTGCTGAATGTAATCTGAGTGGTCAATGTGCAGGTACTGAATGTAATCTGAGTGGGCAATGTGCAGGTACTGAATGTAATCTGAGTGGGCAATGTGCAGGTACTGAATGTAATCTGTGTGGGCAATGTGCAGGTACTGAATGTAATCTGAGTGAGCAATGTGCAGGCACCGAATGTAATCTGTGTGGGCAATGTGCAGGTGCTGAATGTATTCTGAGTGGGCAATGTGGAGGTACTGAGTGGGAACCATGCGGCTACTGTGCAGATGTTAGTGGATATTAAGATGCTAGTAAGGAGGTATTATGTGGGCAGCGAGTGGGTATAAGTTGGTAGTGAGTGGGTATTAGGTGGGCAGTGAGTGGGTACTGTAAGTGAGTAGTGAGCATGGTGAGTGGGTATTTGGCAGGCAGTGAGTGGGTATTAGGTTGGCAGTGAGTGGGTATTAGGTGGGCTGTGAGTGGGTATTAGGTGGGCAGTGAGCAGGTATTTGGCGGGCAGTGAGCGGGTATTATGTGGTCAGTGAGCGGGTATTAGGTGGGCACTGAGTGGGTATTAGGTGGGCATTGAGTGGGTATTAGGTTGGCAGTGAGTGGGTATTAGGTAGGCAGTGAGTGGGTATTAGGTGGGCAGTGAGTGGGTATTAGGTTGGCCGTGAGCGGGTATTAGGTGGGCAGTGAGTGGGTATTAGGTAGGCAGTGAGTGGGTATTAGGTGGGCAGTGAGTGGGTATTAGGTGGGTAGTGAGTGGGTATTATGTGTGCAGTGAGTGGGTATTAGGTGGGCAGTGAGCGGGTATTAGGTGGGCAGTGAGCGGGTATTAGGTTGGTAGTGAGTGGGTATTAGGTGGGTAGTGAGCGGGTATTAGATGGGCAGTGACTGGGTATTAGGTGGGTAGTGAGTGGTTATTAGGTGGGCAGTGAGCGGGTATTAGGTGGTCAGTAAGCGCGTATTAGGCGGGCAGTGAGCGGGTACTGTAAGTGAGTAGTGAGCGGGTATTAGGTGGGTAGTGACTGGGCATTAGGTGGGTAGTGAGCGGGTATTAGGTGGGTAGTGAGCGGGTATTAGGTGGGTAGTGAGCGGGTATTAGGTGGGTAGTGAGCGGGTATTAGGTGGGCAGTGAGCGGGTAATAGATGGGCAGTGACTGGGTATTAGGTGGGTAGTGAGTGGGTATTAGGTGGGTAGTGAGCGGGTATTAGGTGGTCAGTAAGCGCGTATTAGGCGGGCAGTGAGCGGGTACTGTAAGTGAGTAGTGAGCGGGTATTAGGTGGGTAGTGAGCGGGTATTATATGGTCAGTAAGCACGTTTTAGGCGGGGAGTGACTGGGTATTAGGTGGGCAGTGAGTGGGTATTAGGATGGCAGTGAGTGGGTATTAGGTGGGTAGTGAGCGCGTATAAGGTGGGCAGTGAGTGGGTATTAGGTGGGCAGTGAGTGGGTATTAGGATGGCAGTGAGTGGGTATTAGGTGGGCTGTGAGTGGGTATTAGGTGGGTAGGGAGTGGGTACTGTAAGTGAGTAGTGAGTGGGTATTTGCGGGCAGTGAGTGGGTATTAGGATGGCAGTGAGTGGGTATTAGGTGGGCAGTGAGTGGGTATTAGGTGGGCTGTGAGTGGGTATTAGGTGGGCAGTGAGTGGGTACTGTAAGTGAGTAGTGAGTGGGTATTTGGCGGGAAGTGAGTGGGTATTAGGTTGGCAGTGAGTGGGTATTAGGTGGGCAGTGAGTGGGTCCTGTAAGTGAGTAGTGAGTGGGTATTTGGCGGGCAGTGAGTGGGTATTAGGTTGGCAGTGAGTGGGTATTTGGCGGGTAGTGAGCGGGTATTAGGTGGGCTGTGAGTGGGTATTAGGTGGGCAGTGAGTGGGTACTGTAAATGAGTAGTGAGTGGGTATTTGGCGGGCAGTGAGTGGGTATTAGGTTGGCAGTGAGTGGGTATTAGGTGGGCTGTGAGTGGGTATTAGGTGGGCAGTGAGCAGGTATTTGGCGGGCAGTGAGAGGGTATTATGTGGTCAGTGAGTGGGTATTAGGTGGGCACTGAGTGGGTATTAGGTGGGCAATGAGTGGGTATTAGGTGGGCACTGAGTGGGTATTAGGTAGGCAGTAAGTGGGTATTAGGATGGCAGTGAGTTGGTATTAGGTGGGCAGTGAGCGGGTATTTGGCGGGCAGTGAGTGGGTATTAGGTGGGCACTGAGTGGGTATTAGGTGGGCAGTGAGCGGGTACTGTAAGTGAGTAGTGAGTGGGTATTAGGTTGGCAGTGAGTGGGTATTAGGTGGGCAGTGAGCGGGTACTGTAAGTGAGTAGTGAGTGGGTATTAGGTTGGCAGTGAGTGGGTATTAGGTTGGCAGTGAGTGGGTATTAGGTGGGCAGTGAGTGGGTATTAGGTTGGAAGTGAGTGGGTATTAGGTGGGCAGTGAGTGGATACTGTGAGTTGGTAGTGAGCAGGTACTGTAGGTGGGTAGTGGACGGATATCAGGTGGTCTCTGAACGGTAACTGCAAGTGGGTTCTGAGCAGGTATTTGGTGGGTTGTGAGCGGGTACTGCAAGTGGGTTCTGATCGGGTATTATGAGGGCCCTGAGCGGGTACTGCAAATATAAGTGGGTTCTGAGCAGGTATTAGGTGGTTCGTGAGCGGGTACTGTATGGGGGTACTTGGCGGATAGAGAGCGAGCATGACTTTGGTAGTGAGTGTGAACTGTCATGTTATTCCATAGAATGTAAGTAAATTTGAAGTTCAGACTCATCAACACAGACATACAGATCTGGTTACCACTTCCTGTAATCATCATCGTACATCCCCCACACACGACCTGTGTGGCAGCAGCAGGGGTATTGTTGGAAACAAGCATGTGTAACCCACACCTCATACCAGCTGGGCCAGATGGTGTTATGTAAACTAGAGTTACCTCCCTTCTATCTATTCCTGGTTTCTGCGACGGATTTTGGCCGAGAAAATGGCGTCTTGAAGTTCTAAGACAAGACGGATGAAGATTGCTTGTGATACTGTCTAAGGTAAGTGTGACTGTCTGGATCTTCCCACCACATCCCAGTCCAACTTCCCCCCATCAAGCAATTCTTAGATTGGGCTTTTGTTTGACAAATAAATATGTAACACCCGAACTGTGACCCAATGAGACTTCTTTGTTTACAAACAAAACTGAGGAAGAAGTTTGTAAAGTCTGCAACTGCTAGCTCCAATGGCCGCCCATAGCGATTCCAAATGTCCCATCAAGTACTGAATGAGAATGTTGAACCAGGGTTAAGTACAGACGCAGATGTCTGCTGATTTAAACACAGCACGCCGTTCTTCACTAGGTTACACCAAATTTACTTTCCATCTACAAGGAAAACAAGGAATCCTTAAAATAAATATGACAATTCGTATATGATATAGACAATATTTGAGACGTAGATTCACATACGGCCGAATGCCATCGCACGAATGTTACCCAATGTAAAAGCAGTCATTGTGTTCCTCCGCCATACGGCACGTGATTCTGTTGCACTGCAGAGGAACTTGAGACGAACTGACCTTCCGTTTGATGTGACCTTTCTAAAAATACACAAAGGGAGAAGAGTAGCTGATGATATTCTTGCGAGCACACGTGTTTTCTATAAACACGAAAGAGGGACTACGCAGGATGAATATACACTGGGGAACTATCTTGTGTGATGTTAGCACATATCCTTCGTATCGGCAAATCACAGGAAACAGTTTGACAACGCATGATATACATCCGCGAGCCGAACCATCTGTTAGATGGGGCTATTATAATGCAAGTTCGCAGGTACGCGCCATTAGATGCTGTTATCATAAATGGACCGACTGAAGTTGTAAATATCAATTTATTCTTGAGAACACGTGTTATCTGAAGCATTAGCCAGTATATAGTAGATGATAGATAGTAGATAGGAATCACCCGGTACTGCACACACAGGGACTGACAACTTTCAAGGAACCGCTTGGAATTCTGTTTATTATATTTATCGTTATTCTAAGCTGATCCTCTCTAAGACCTGCTTAGAGTCGATGTAGTAGCCATTATAACACGGGAACTAGTCTACGCTGATGGCTGGTCTTCCGTAGGCACCATCAGATATGAATGAAGACGCGGCAGTCTGGTCTGATAGCGGTGTGTGGGTGATCCGTAAGGGTACAAGAACTTTAACTTGGCAAAATGGTCATTCATTGGATGCTGTTGAACGATTTTCGAGACAATGTTACTTTGTGTCATCGCCCATTCCCCACTGAGGTGAATCCACATCATACCATTGATGGTTGTTATTTGGTACGAAGGTGCTCCCGCCGCATTCAATAGTATTTCAACTTTTTCACTGCTTGAACGGGTAGTTAGGAAAGCCCCAAAATGCCAGGTCATAGCCGCCTACCAATGGGACTCCACGATCACGGGATGGTGCAGACAACCCATGGATCGTGATCAATGCGAATCTATAGTTCAAATCCTGGCACGGCTAAGGGACGTAACTCTACGGCACTTTTTTTACCACAGCACGTGTCCCCTGAAACACACGCGAAACACTTCCATGTATTTTTTTATGAAATAAGACGCTCAGGATTCCAAACATTATAATACGATGTTTTACATGATGTTAACAGCATTGCTTCACTACAGGAAATTAAAGATCAACCATCTTATTTACTGAACAGGGAAGTGGAGATGCCTTTAACCCACGATGTTTATGTTTGAAGTACAAGCATTCAGACATGCATTGTTTCCCTGTTCGTGTATTTGGCATAAAGTGTTTAAAGCTAACAAAGTGTACAAGTAATGACAACCTTATCAGAGTGCACAACACTCGCCTGTGAGAAGCGTGGGTCTGCTCTGGCAGATGTGCGTGCGTGTGGGGGATGAGACCTCACAGGTCTACACGACATTCCCCCGACGTATTACATACGTACAGATTGCTACCCCGGTGTGGTGAGCGGGCGGAGGTATGGGCTAACCATGTGCTAAACAACTGCATGTCTCTCCGCCGGTAACAATGTTAGGTAACACAGACGCCATCTCGCTTCCCTGGCTGACAAGTTAAAGAGTTCATTTGAAGTGTTTTCACTTTTTCCAAGTTACAATAGAATATGTGGGATTTCCCCATGTTTTGTTTGGATGTCTGTTTCAAGTGTATGTTAAATGGAGGTAGCATAGTGAGTTTTGCTATCTCTGCTGTGCTGTTCATTGTCAATGAAGTGAGACCGCAATCAATCGTGGCCCCTGGGTTTGGAATCGGAAAAGAGAACATGCGTCTCCTACTCAGGAAATGATATTTTTTTAAGATTACAAATGTCTTGAATCCAGTAATTTGCACAACGTCGATGGCAACTACACAGGGCATATAACCTATACGTGTGTTGTACAGAACACAACGTCCTGATCGATGGCAACTATACATGACATATAACCTATACATGTGTTGTACAGAACACAACGTCCTGATCGATGGCAACTATACATGACATAGAACCTATACTTGTGTTGTACAGAACACAACGTCCTGATCGATGGCAACTATACATGACATAGAACCTATACGTGTGTTGTACAGAACACAACGTCCTGATCGATGGCAACTATACATGACATAGAACCTATACTTGTGTTGTACAGAACATATCTTCTGTAAAGTTTAAAGAAGCTTGTGTAAATCCGACAATACGATTGCATAATAAAGCGGGCATCATGTTTCAAATACTTAGCCGCGTAGACTCAGACTATCTCGCCATCGCCTGTCCCTTGTTTCTGTGATTTGTGAGGGCAGGTATATTGTAAACAGGAGCTTCAGCTGATACAATTAATCAACATCCCAGTGTGTACAGCCTTAAGCCATGTGGACAAAGGGACACCACCGTCACGGGGTAAGTCTGAGGTGGATGATGCTCGTTCCATGATCACCTCGAATCTTTAATAAAGTTTTAGCGACTACAATTATCCGTTGCAATTCGGAAACACTTTTAATCACCACAGGGGTCGTCTTTAGGTTTCCATTATAGATCTGTGGCATAGCGACTTGACCTTCAGATCTGGCACGTTTGTTTTGAATAAACGACAAGGGGGGACTACTCGGCTGGAAACTTACAACGCTACTTACAAGGGCAGACGTTGTTGAAGAACCCACAGGGAGATTGGAGAAATTTTACAGACTGTTTCGTTAATGAAGTATATGGAGCGAGAAGGGACAAGAAATAGTTAAGTCGTGGGACTGTTTCTGTCTGTGTCATTGCGTGTCAGTACACTCAGCGGTCGGCGCGCCTCGCGAGGGATGCGGGGCCATTGAGAGAACTCAACGCCGATGATGTAACGATGCGAAAAATTACCTAGAAAAAACATGGTTTCGACACTTCCCTAGGTGTACCATTTATCTATTTCACTGTCATTTCTTCACCGCTGACTAAAAAAACTGCCACGTAATCCCAAATGATAGTGAGGCAATGTGTCATCTCTACGCCTCGCCGGAACCGACAGACAATGGCGCTTGTTTGCTGCCGCGCGGCACTGCAGGAAAAACCAAATGACGTCCTGATGAGATACGCGCTCGGGCTATCCATCTTGAACATTATAAGCCCTACAATTGCATTGTCGAGAGACTGACGCCAAGTTCTGGTGTAAGTCATACGTCTCTTGTAATAGTTACTGAGGCAATCAAAGCTTTATTATTTTGGATCTAAGGGATCGTTTTTGTTATTCGACTCATAGTGATAGTATTGTTGCTGTACCTTATTGGGTTTCTAACATTTTTGTTTCCCGATTATCAGCTATTCCGGCAACTAATATATTTGAATATAATCTCTGATAAGAACAGGGGGAAATCAATTGCCTGAAATTAACATGTGATTTTTTAAAGGAAGTCATGAAGACAAGATGTAATGCGTTTTGACATGAGTGTTGGCGTGGTCGTGTATATGTCATGTAGTATACGAGAATGTTTCATCGGTGTTCCATCCTTCCAGCCAGGCTTAGCGGAGGAGAAAAGTAGTACTGTGGGTGACGAGGTGCATCATATTTTTGAGTGTAGTTATTTATCAGCTAAAATAAGTTTATTCTCTACTAGTCATTGTTGTAGTCGCCCCAACTTTTATAAGCTTCATAGTAACCAGTGACACTAAGGTATTATGTCACTTGAACACATTTATCAAATACATATTTGATAAGTTAAAATGTTTTTACGAAAGGTCGAATTATTATGTAGGTCATAATGTTTCCATCGTTTACACCTTTACAGTATAATTGCCTGACACTATTATCGTTATCATAGTATTATATGTACTGTGTGTCACTGGTCTATGGTGAAATAAAGAACTGGAAGTAGCAAGACGAGAGTCACGTGACGTCGACAAATGGAGTCCGGAAGGATGGAGGGTTATCAAGATAATCAGGGGTACATCGAACACCCCTGGAGAGAGAACACAGAAAGTTGATTCAAAGCCACACAATGTACAATAGAAGGGACTGAACTATACATTAAATCAACCTGGTTTAATTGTAGTGGTGAATCTGGAGAAGGAAACCATATTTTAGCCTGAAGCAAATACAAATTATTGTTGGCGATCAGCTGATCACAACCTTATACGTATAGCATTAAAATAGTCAGGGGTTATACTTGAACGCATCTTTTACAGTCCGTTTTCTCTTGGGTAAATATGTTTTGTCAATGACATTTTAATTGTTACTAAACAACACGACCCTACCCCATACCCCAACCTAACAACCGGTGCTGCTCGTGCTTACAGGACGCTAGGTAACTGGGGAATAATGGATGGTACCCTGGACTCGAACCAGATAACAATCCACGGAATCTAAGAGAGAGCATTAAAGGTGGCTGTTGACCGTGACAATACACTCAGCGCAAGCCGACAGTAGAGCCCTTATGTTACACAGATACCGACTACTCATTTTCTAGGTGTGTGAAACATCGAAGCACACTCAACGTAATTGTCCAGTCAACAGACTTGGAGGCGCAAAGTCATTTCATTTCGGTCACGTACGGGAGTGTATTTA